TGACATGTCTTCCAAAGAGCAACATAAATAACAGCATAAAATATATTAAAAAATGGAGATATTAATGCAGTGTGGCATACTTAAAAGGATGCATCCTTAACACTAAACTGAAACAGAAAGACCTCTGAGAAACAGCAGTGTCAGGGGCCATGATGAGTGACCTATTTAATACAGGAGATTTCTGCTGTAATTTGTAATCCTAGGTAGCTGGCTGTCCCTCTACAGTAGCTTTCTTTACAGATGAAAAATACCCATAAGAGTAAAGGGCACTGCTGGATTTTTTAAGGAGAAGCTCTATGAAAGAGGGAATGATTTCTTCAAAAAAAGGCAGACCCTGTTCTGAATCAACAACTCTCACTCTTTCCCTGATAAGCAGAGTTATTTTCTAAGGCCTCTTGAGACATAGATCATTTACATCTGTAAACTTAGTCACTAGTCTTCCATAGATAATCCAAGTCACACCATGGCCAGCATCCTCATCCTTGCCCTTTTCCTTCTGCAGCAAGAAGAAATTTATCTTCAATGAGAAAATTAATTAATGAAATCATGAGGATATGGACTTAACAGTACCCTGCATTAGACAAGTTCAGGAAGTGTAAACTGGATGAGCAGACTGAGGTGGATTGAGAATTGGCTGAATGGCAGACCCCAGAGGGCTGTGACTGATGTCACAGAGTCTCGTTAGAGGCTAGTAACTAGTGGAGTCCCACAAGAGTCAATACTGAGGCCAGTACTACTGAAATTGTTCACAAAAGACTTGGATGAATGGGTAGAGTGCCTCCTCAGCAAGTTTCGTTATGATACAAAACTGGGAGAAGAGGTTGATACTTCAGAGCGCTGTGCAGTCCTTTGGAAGGAATTCAGTATTAAGACTGTAGGATTTCTTTTTTTTTCCCCCATAATTATTTTATTTTATTTTCATGGAAAGAGTAATGAAAAAGAGTGTCAATAACATTAAATAGTAAGATATAAGGAGAAAATATATAGCTGATATACACTTTCAGAGAAGATAAGATGCTTTACTATGTGACCTGAAGGGAGTTCAAGAAGATGCATGAGCCTTCAGGAAAAGATAAAAGCATAAAATAGGTAAGATGATTTACAACTTTTCTGAGCTAGCATTTGGTCTCTCACAAGCCAAATGGAAATAAGTAGTCTTAGTAAATTTAGATTAATACAGCTAAGTTTATGTATCTTTGTTATCCTTTTAATAAAATACATAAATTACACAGTACAAGTTTACTTTACTTTTCAACATGCATCAAAAAAGTATGAGGTCACAGATCACCTCAAGATCCCCCCCAGGATTTGAAACTGTTCAGTTCAGTGTACACCTCCTGGAAGATAAAGGCCATCGACTACATTACTAAAATAATCTTGTGCCAGAATAAGAAGCTGCAGATTACACAGATAGATTACTTGTAGGTAATCTAGGTGTGTAATCCCTTAAAGATACCTCTAGAGTTAATTATCTTTAGCGGTATGTAATGAGATATAAAACGTTTATCACTGAAGGAGTAGTAATACTAGCATGTCAGTAAGACAAGAGCGTTTACTGATTTTTTTGTTGCTCTTCACCTTTTCTCCAAGCAAGGAAGCTATTTTCCACTCAATAAACAAGAGTATTGTGACAGTTTATGACAACTGGACATTCCTACACAGAGAAACTTAATTCATAAAGACATAAACCCATTCTGTTTCAAGAACTTTGAACATGTCACCAGTCAGCTAAGTGTTGCTTTGGTGTCAGGAGGCTTAGTTTAGGTACCATTACTGCTGGATTAATATATTTCTTGTGAAGATTGAAGCCTATGTCGGACAAGATTCAAGTCAGCTTACTAGAATATGTTGTACTCCACTTTTGTGTCAGAGGAGCCAAGGAGACCATCCTAACATAGATACAAGGGCTGTCAGGTAAAGATATTTCAGGAAAACTGTTCTAAAGATTAAGAGACATGCAAAACTCATTTTAAGGTAAAAATGAAATAGCCTCAGTCCAAATAGCAGTGCTAAAACTTCTAGCAAAAGTACTACTGCTGATATTCTTCAGTTTGGAATAGGGTTTATGCTTTGAAATTTTTTTTTCTAAATAAGAAGAAAGAAGATTTTCTACATTTAAGAGTAAAATATAGTATATTAGATTAATTAAAAAGGGGGTAATTTTAAAATATTCTTGCTTTTTTAACAAATTCAAATTTATAAAATTCTCTAATGATTATGCTTATGCGAAAAGACACTATTTTTCAGAGAGTTTCTAGGGCAAAAAAGAGAGAGACATTTGTAACATATTTTCAATTTATTTTTTATTAAAAAAGAGAAAAACTATCTAAGATATTTCAGAATTATTTTTACTGTTATCTTAGTTTTCCATTTAGTGCTCTCTTAATCAAATGCTGAAAAAAGGTTTTAATCGTTAAATATTCTACCAGCCACATTTATTCTAGGTATTGAGTATTTGTTTATTCAAACTGTGAAGGTCAAAATATTGCCCAAGAAAGCCAAGATTTTCAAGTAGTATTTTCATTTTATTATTTAGGTTATAGGATTTTAATCTCAATTTTAACTTTATTGGGTAATTAAGTGATAGGCCTGTGAAGTTAGAGTACCCTTATCCTGGGTTCTGAAAGCATAAGATTTGCCATAATATTAAGGGCTTTTTAAAATGTGGTAATTAGTCCTTATTTTCTTATTACACTGTCTTAATTTTGTGCTTTTCAATTAAAATTTAATTCTTTTTTTAGAGCTGCTAAGAGTAATTAAAGAGAATTTCAATATACTATATAGCTTGCTCATCCTGCAAGTCAAGAAGAAAGTATGATTTACTTGACACAATGACAATTCCAGATTTCACTCTGCTAATTTGCAGGTGATGAGTGTCTTTGTGGAACTCACCTTTTTGTCTCAGAGTTGAAATTTAAGAGATGACATCATAAATTGTTCCCTCTGGCTGTACAGGAGGTTGTTCCCTCATCATATTCAGATCTGCACCAAGAGGCAGAGTTCCTGACTGCCATAAGCACTTACTGACAGCACTCAGATCCTAGAGGAAATCAGGGAGCACTTTTTGTCCCTGAAAACTTAAATGGGAAAATGTGAAGTGACATGTGAATGACAAAATGTGAAGTGGTCAGAACAAAAGATAATGATTAAACTAAATATAAATGGGAAAACAAGATTCAGGATGTTTATAAAGTACTAGAGGCATTAAATGGGTTTAGTTCTGGATACTTCTGACAACTGCACATATAACTAAAGTAAAGAATGAGTGGAATTTTCTTCCAAAAGTATCGCTGTTTGCCATAGGATGTAGCCACTTCCCTAAGAAAGATATTACTTTTATATGACTGTGACTAAGAATTGAAAAAAGGCAAAGTTAAGAAGAATTTTTTCCATTAATATATTTTTAAGATTTCCTGAAGGAATTCGTGGATACTTGCACAAGGTCTTTTAGAAGTTACAAATCTGTTTTATTCTCTGCTGGCACTGTGTATGTTCCTCTCTTCGTCTCCAATTTCTCTCAAGTGAGCAGCTATACCAACACTGTTTTTTCTTTTATTTAAAGAATGTTCTGGAAAAATACATCTGTCTGTGTAAATATTTGACATGCGTAATACACAACACTGAGATTCAACAACATTGTAATTTTTCACTTTAATTCCTTTTTTAGTTCCAAATCAAGCATGCAGGCTCAAAGTGAAAACATACATACAAAGAATTTGTGCTCTTGGACATGCCCTGATTTCAACATTTCTTAAAATTAAATTTCTTAAATATCTTAACTGCAGTCTTCCAGAGAGGATGATTGTATGATATACAAAAGAAACAAACAGAAAATTTGAATGTTTGATATGTTTATTTAGGTAATTACTTGAAAGGTTGGCAAATACTTGAAAAATGTTGAGATAGTTTTAAACTACACTAAAATAAAATAACTATTTTTAAAAGTATAGGACTTGTTTGTTTACTGGTTTAGCTTTTATCTTTTTTGACCTGCCTACAACAGCCATACTGGAAAAACTTGATGCTCATGTATGAGAGAAGGTGGTCACCACACTTCAGAATTCACTTTGTTTCCCTTTCCTAATTATTTCAGATGCTTTTTATACAAAGAAATGCTGACCTTAGCCAAATCAAAAATCATTTTTAGTAACTTTAGCTTGTTGAATATCTACATTAAAGAGTGAAGCTGATACAAATTGTTCTGTAGACTTCAAAATTCTGGAATTTCAAACTTCTTGTTTTACTTATTTCAATAGGATATAGGAAGACTGCTTCATGATCTGAGCCCCTGGAAGACTTCCCTGTGAGTTGAGTCTGGTCTGCATATTGGGCCCTTCATTCCCCTTAAAAGGGAGTCGCCTATTACAACTACCCTTCTGTTCCTCTTAACAGAGGAGGTCTTCATGTGAGGTACAGGTTGTGTTGTTTTAGAAGATCCCACTATCCCAGAAGGACCTTAGCCCATCTCATCAGTTGTCTGGCCTTCTAGTTCCACAGCCTCATAACTTTTGCAGAAGGCACCACTCCTACCTGTCAAATTTTGAGGAGTAGGAACCTTCCTCCTGGTACGTGCGGTGATCCACTTCCAGCTTTCATCTTTAACAGACCCTTGACTAACATTCCTTTGACTAATTACATCGTAGGGTTCACCTGCTTCTCCACTACAATGGAGGTTCAAGACTCCCAAGAGTCTTGAGGCTGTAGCGTCTTCTTCATGAAGCTCCTTCACATGGCAACACAGCTCTTCAACCATGGTACACCCTCTGCAACATAAATGTTTGTCCCAGCCTCACAAGAGGCATCAGGCACTCCTGGCAACCTGTGACCTGGAGAGCTGCATCTGCCATCAACAGGTCTGGCTGGCTGGAGGCCTCTGACATGGTTGGTTCAGTGACTCCACCAGCTACAGGGGATCAAGCTGTATGGTGTGTCAACATCATAAATGAGGAAGCTTAAACTAAAAAGACTCGTGCTGAAAGGATCTCATTGCTCTAGCTTACCTGCTTTCTGAGTCTGTTTGTTGCCTCTATTGGTTGCTCCCAGATGGTCAGAGAGGAGGCCTTCCTGCTTGTCCTGCCTGTGCGAACTGCCATGCAAATGTCTTCAGTTCCACACCCTCTCTGGAGCCGTTTAACTCTGCCTCGATTGCTCTTGGCACCGTTCTCTGCTCACCTGTTTGCCTGCTGAGGGCTTCTGACTCCTCAAAAGGCAGCACTTAAGCGTTCATGGCCACAGGAACCCCCAAACACCAAATCTCACCCTAAAACCCTCTTTTAAGTCACCTCTGGTGCTACCTTACTGATAGAGAGATACAACAAAATATACAATACTTTTCTTTGTAAGGGACTCCAATAATCCTCTGCTGGACAGGAAGAAGACTGACAGCCTCCTCATTATCCTGTGATATGATATTCAGATGATGATGTGTCCTCTGCAATTTAAAAATCACAAAATCTCACACTTTCATACCCTCTTTCTTATATCTTTTAAAAAGGACAAATCTCTTACTTACCATCTAAAATTTCCACTCTTTAGCTTTTATTTGATGCTCTACTGCAGCTGGAACATCAATTTCCACTAAAACCTCCTTGCATCACAGGCCACCACAGCAGAGAGTATCTTCAGATATTTCTAAGCATATTGGCACCTTTGTTAAAAGGTCTTCATTCTCTCTTTCTATGGCAGTCTTTAGACATTTGCTTTTGTTGTCAGAGATAATTATTTTTGTACACATAAATGGCACTCTGTGTTTTGCTGTTGTGTATAGATGGAATTTGATCTACACACTGACCTGTGAACAGGTGAAGAATGCATAGATCAAGCAAGATGAACTTATTTGGTGAAAAGTATTGTTATTTTAGGATTGTTTAGTGCTGTGTTGTGTTTATCATGACACTCGTGACTTGTTTTGTAAGTAATTTCTTTTTCTCTGCAACAGCTGCAAAAAAGTAAGTAAGTTACTATTTAATTTTTATCCAATCTTACTAAAAGATGTGAAGAAAATCTGACAAAAATTCATGGAAGAAGGAAGCACATAGTAATTTTGTTAAAGAGTAATTTATGGACAAATCTCTGCAATGAAACCTTGTATTATAAAGTGGAATGCTTAATATTCTGCATATTTATCTTTAAGTTGTTGAATTCTCAGAAGTAAAATCAGAATATTTTGATTAATCACATGTTGTAGCAAGAAGAAAATGCCAAATCCAACCTCAACGTTTTCATGAGGCAGAATGCACAAAACACACTGAATAAATTCTCCAAATATAAGATTCTCAAAGTTTTTGGTCTGGGCTCTGAATGAACATTTTGTTTTCTTTGTCAGTGATTCAGAATATCTCCAGCTACTCTTCAGTGTCTAGGAAAATGTCATGCCAACTGGGGTCAAGTTTTATTTTAAAATTGAAAGCATGAAATAAGCACTAAGAAGACAATTGTACATTTGTTTTCCAAAGTAAAAAAGCATCTTCGATCTACTTTGCTTTTGAAAATTGGCTGAGGAACATATTCCAGAGGCCCAATAGCTCATAACATTATTCCATGTTCTACTCTGTATGAGTAATTAGACTGCTGCATATTTGCATAAGCATGATGCTTCATGATTAATGTATAAGTCACAGCATGGAGCCCTGAACAAATTCATCCACAGATCCTTCTCACCATGTCTGCTGCAAATAACCAGTGTGCCTGAACCGCAGTCTATCATACCTGTAGATATGGCAGTGTATAATATAAAAAACTTTTAAACTTCATTATGAAGTTGTACCGAGCTGTAAATCTTTTTTATCTAGAAATGTTATTAACAATAAAATGTTTGCTCCTATAAAGCCACTGGCGTTTGTACTTCCTGTGATTTATGCCGGATTTGTTGGTGTTTTTTTCCCGTGGTAAAATTAAGTATGAAGTCTATAGCTTTAGTCTTAAAATGGAACTAGATCAAAAAAACTTTGTTAAATTAATAACCTAATAATTACTTTTGCACTATTACTCCTGGGGTAATGTTAACCTAGAGCAAACAAGAACTTGCTGTTCTAAAAAGAGCAACATGTTAATAATTCAATAACACATCAATTCGTTTGCAAATTAAATAGGAAAACTGCTGAAAATGTTAACAGAGGTCTGATGAATAAAAGCCAGAGAATGCCATAGTAAGGATGCTGGGAAAACATTAGTCTAACCTTTTGTGGTTAAGCAGTGGAGAGACTACAAGCTGATACATGTTCTTTTTACTGCAATTCATTGCATTAACATGACAACTGAGATCTTAAGAGATCTTCCACTCAAGCTTAATTTGTTTCCAAAAGAAAGCAAAAAAATCCACTATTGTTATTTAAAGACTTTTTCCTAATGCCACAAAGAGCATACACTGATTGTGATTTATTTTCATCATTAACATTACAATTACCTTGGCCTAGCACAGAAGGCTATCAAATGTGGTACTATTGGCAGCATCTCAAAACCAGGCATAGACTCAATGGTATTTTGTGTAACTGGGAAAAGACAGAAACAAAATCATTTGAAGTGCCAGGGGGTGAAAGCTCCATGAGCTACATTCATTTTCACTGAAATTCAAAATTTTAGAAGAAAAAATATTCCAAGGCTTGAGGATTGGTTTGGGTTTGTTTTTGTTTTTTAATTTTTGTTTTTGTATAGCATCTAACATCTAAATCACCACCTCACTGCTGAGCAGTCATTGGTGTCAATGATTCAAATCAGTGGGATTCAAAATAGTTTTGAACATTATTTGCCTGCATTTTCATACCAAGAATAAAACCATGGACATTTTAAATATTCTACTTAAAGAGAATTAATGTTAAAATACACTAAACATTATGTTCACATTATTTTGAATTTAATATAAATATACAGCATTGCATATATGTATAATCTTTTCTACAAAAATAAGCTTTTGCTGTGAACTAAACACAGTGCACCATGAGCAAGGAACTTACTCAGATGAGTGCTGGTGAAAGCAATGTATTTTTGGAAGAGATGTATGTGATAAGCACAAAACAAGCAGAGGCCAAATTGTTTAGCCCTAGAGGAAACTATTCCCCACCCTAAGTAATAAAGCCAACACAAAACAATTCTATTTCTTAAGCAACCTAAAGGATCACCCACAGTGTGGGACTCCAGTATGTCAGAACTGTCCAAGGGTAGTTTCATCCTTTCTAACTTTGCAGTGTAAACTGTTTATGTAGGCTTCTTCAGTGACGAAGTGCTGTCTCCAAATGGAAAGTCACCACATTTACACTACATTTTCTGACAGATCCTCTCTCTAGACAGATACTTAAATCTTAGTCCACCAAAGAAAGCTGAAATTACAGTAAACCTGTATGCACTATCCCACTGGCAGTTCCTGAAAAATCCACTCTTCCTCCGATCAAACTTCCTGTTCTCTATATGTAATAAAAAAGTTCAACATGGCAGAAACATTTTTCCAAAAGCTAGTATATTTGTATTTGCAAGTGAGGGAATTTTCCTTTCTGACAATTTTCTCTTTTCCCTTTGAAATTGGTATCTTTATATGAGTCGAGTGCACTCATTGAAATAATCAAAGTAAAGCAGTGTGGAGAAATTAAATTGAAGTACATGATACTATTGCTTTAGGGCTTAAAAATACTCAAAGTAGGTCTGTAGTAGCTCCTATGAGATCATTCCCTCACTCTTGTCTCTCTCTTTATACCAGCTTTATGGGGTTAAATCCACTTCATCAATGGCACACAGGCTTTCTGCATTGTCTTCTTAAGAGGAATTCCTTTTGTAGTAAACATTATCTGAAGAATCTATAGATAACATATGAAAATTTTATTTTTTAAAATATTTTTATAAAAAAAGACATAAAATCACACGACAAGGGTTACATTATAACACACTTTTGGATTACAATGAAATAGATTTTTCTTTGAGAATATTGACATCGTGAAAGCATTGATTGAATGTATTTATTTTCTTAATTTAGGAAAATGTCTTTTATAACAACAACAGAAGAGGCAGCCCACATTCTTCTGGTCTGAATTTTCCAACCAAGTTTCCCAGAACGAAAATGTGACATAAATGGCAAAACTGGTAGGATTGTGTCATCATGCAAATGGAAGAAATTAACATGAAATTACCTATGTATTATGTTTTAGATATTATGTGTTATATTTTAGATATCATGTATCTACTGAAAGCTCTTTGCTTCAATATCTACATGAAATTAAAATTAAAATTATACCATTTTAAGGGTGATTTGAGAGATTTCATATTTTTAATAAATTTCTAAGAAAGTAGTCAAGAATTTCAATCCTAACAGCATGCTCAAAAGCCATACTTTTGTAAGATTTCTGAAAGGAAAATCTAGCAAATCATTTTAACCCCATTTTTGAGGAATTCTTTTTTCTCAAAACCACATATAGGATGCACAGTCAAAAATATATGGTACATTCAAAGGAATTATTACTATTATTATTATTAATAATTAAATAAAATATTATATAATTTAAAAATATTTTTATACATCTCAACCAATATAAATATATTCAATACCTATTTGAGGCTTTAATATGGAAAACATAAACATTTGATAAGTGTTCCAGGTTGTATTTGTGTAGAAAGGCATGATTTGTTCACAGTATACCCAAAATTGTTTCAGAAGCAAAACATCTTACCATTTTCATGTTATTACATACAAAAAAAACCCCAAAATAAAACACCAAAAGAACCAAACAACAACAAAAAACCCAAATCAACCAAACAAAAAAATTCTTCTCCCAAAACATTGAATAGAAGTTGAATTGTGAGTTGTTTGTCTGTGCACTTATTCTTCTAATTTCACTAATATTCTAGCCAAAAATGCTTAGAACTGCTAGTATCTTTTCAGAATTGTGTCCACTTGTGACCCTATATGTAAGAAGAAGGAGCAAAGAAACCAAAGGCCCCTGTATTAGATATATGTTCTTACATGATTTTAAAATTATTCTCTCAGTAAAAAAAATTGTCTTTGTACCCTAGATGTCAGGATAATAGAAGATTCAATTATTTTGACTTTGAAAACTTAGGTAATTTGTAGTTTTTCATGTCACAGGGGTCTGCTGCTGGCTTACCTCTGGTTCTTGGTCCCTTC